CTTATCAGACCACCATGCTTTAAAATTAGAATTCAACAACAACACAAATTGCAGAAAACCTACAAACTCATGGAAATTGAATAATGCTCAACTGCACCATCCCTGGGTCAAAGAGGAAATAAAAAAAGAAATTAAAGACTTCCTCGAATTCAATGAGAATTAAGACACAACATACCCAAACCTATGGGACACTTTGAAAGCAGTGCTACGGGGGAAGTTCATAGCGCTAAATGCTCACATGAAGAAACAGGAGAACAGTTATACCAGAGAATTAACATCACAGCTGAAAGCTCTAGAACACAAAGAAGCACACTCCCCCAGGAGGAGTAGATGCCAGGAAATAATCAAATTGAGGGCTGAAATCAATAAAGTAGAAACCAGGAAAACAATACAAAGAACCAACGCAACGAAGACTTGGTTCTTTGAGAAAATCAACAAGATAGACAAACCTTTGTCCAAACTTACCAAACAGCAGAGAGTGAACATGCAAATTACCAAAATTAGAAATGAAAAGGGGGACATAACAACAGACTCTGAGGAAATCCAGAGAATCATTAGGTCATACTTTGAAAACCTGTACTCCACAAAATTCGAAAATTTAAAGGAAATGGATGACTTCCTGGACAGCTATCAATTGCCAAAACTAAATCAAGAACAGATAAGCAATTTAAATAGACCTATAACCCCTATGGAAATAGAAGCTGTCATCAAAAGTCTCCCAACCAAAAAAAGCCCAGGTCCAGATGGCCTCAGTGCAGAATTCTACCAGAAATTCAAAGAACAGCTTATACCAATTCTTCTCAAAGTGTTCCACACAATAGAAGCAGAAGGGTCTTTGCCAAACTCTTTCTATGAGGCTTCAATAACCTTGATCCCCAAGCCACACAAAGATACAACTAAGAAAGAGAACTTCAGACCAATATCCCTCATGAACATTGAGGCAAAAATACTCAATAAAATACTGGCAAATCGGATCCAAGAACACATCAAAACAATCATTCACCACGATCAAGTAGGTTTCATCCCAGGAATGCAGAGATGTTTCAACATACGAAAATCCATCAACGTAATCCACCATATAAACAAGCTGAAAAACAAAAATCACATGATCATCTCACTAGATGCTGAAAAAGCCTTTGACAAAATCCAACACCCCTTCATGATAAAGGTCTTGGAGAGATCTGGGATAACAGGGACATACTTAAACATAATAAAAGCTATATACAGTAAACCAACAGCCAACATCAAACTAAATGGACAGAAACTCAACGCAATTCCTCTAAAATCAGGAACAAAACAAGGCTGTCCACTCTCTCCATACCTTTTCAACATGGTACTTGAAGTTCTAGCTATTGCCATACGACAACAAAGGGGGATCAAGGGGATACAAATTGGGAAGGAAGAGGTCAAACTTTCACTGTTTGCAGACGATATGATAGTTTACATCAATGACCCAAAGAACTCTACCAGGGAACTCTTACAGCTGATTAACACCTTCAGCAAAGTGGCAGGCTACAAGATCAACTCAAGAAAATCAGTAGCCCTAATAGATACAGATGATAAAAGGGCTGAAAGAGAAATCAGAGAAACATCACCCTTTACAATTGCCACAAACAACATAAAATACCTTGGGGTAATGCTAACCAAACAAGTGAAAGTCCTGTATCGTAAGAACTTTGAATCTTTAAAGAAAGAAATTAAAGAAGCCCTCAGAAAATGGAAAGATCTCCCATGCTCTTGGATAGGTAGGATCAATGTAGTAAAAATGGCAATCCTGCCAAAAGCAATCTACAGATTCAATGCAATCCCCATTAAAATCCCAGCACAGTTCTTCACAGACCTTGAAAGAACAATAATCAATTTTGTATGGAAAAACAAAAGACCTAGGATAGCCAAAGCAACCCTGTTCAACAAGGCAACGTCCGGAGGCATCACCATCCCTGACCTCAAGCTCTATTATAGAGCTATGGTCCTGAAAACAGCTTGGTATTGGCACAGAAATAGACAGGTAGACCAATGGAATCGAATTGAAAATCCGGGTATTAACCCACACACGTACGAACATCTGATCTTTGACAAAGAAGCTAAAAATATACAATGGAATAAAGAAAGCATCTTCAACAAATGGTGCTGGCATAATTGGAGACTGGCATGTAGAAGAATGCAGATCGATCCATGTCTATCGCCATGCACAAAACTTAAGTCCAAATGGATCAAAGACCTCAACATAAATCCAGCCACACTGAACCTCTTAGAAGAGAAATTGGGTGGTACCCTTGAATGAATTGGTACAGGAGACAGCTTCCTGAACATAACACCAGTAGCACAGACAGTGAGATCAACAATTAATAAATGGGACCTACTGAAACTGAGAAGCTTCTGTAAGGCAAAGGACACAGTCAGCAAGACAAAAAGGCAGCCCACAGAATGGGAAAAAATATTCACTAATCCCACATCTGACAGAGGGTTGATCTCCAAAATTTACAAAGAACTCAAGAAGCAAGTCTCCAAAACACCAAAGGACCCTATTAAAAAGTGGGCTGCAGAACTAAATAGAGGAGTCTAAAATGGCTGAGAGGCACTTGAGAAAGTGCTCAACATCCTTAGCCATCCGGGAAATGCAAATCAAAACAACTCTCAGATACCATCTCACCCCTGTCAGAATGGCTAAAATCAAAAACACCAATGACAATTTATGCTGGAGAGGATGTGGTGAAAGGGGGATACTCCTCCATTGCTGGTGGGAGTGCCAACTGGTTCAGCCACTTTGGAAATCAGTGTGGAGATTCCTCAGAAAAATGGGAATAAACCTACCACAAGACCCAGCAACTCCACTCTTAGGCATATATCCAAAAGATGCCCATTCATACAACAAAGATGTCTGTTCCACTATGTTCATAGCAGCTTTATTTGTAATTGCCAAAACGTGGAAGCAACCTAGATGTCCCTCACCTGAAGAGTGGATAGAGAAAATGTGGTACGGCTACACAATGGAGTACTATTCAGCAGAAACAAATAATGGAATCATGAGATTCGCAGGCAAATGGATGACACTAGAAGAAACCATCCTGAGTGAGGTAACCCAGTCACAAAAAGAGAAACATGGCATGTACTCTCTCATATATGGATTTAGACATAGATCTGGGGAGTGCCAGCCTACAATCCTATGGCCAGAGAGTCTGGGAAACAGAAACTTCATTTAGTGGCTTTTCTAAGAAGAGGCAGACTCCCTTGGTTAAGTACTGAGCTGAACTCAAGAAAGCCAGTAACAGAGAGGGAGGACTGTTGATCAAAGGGATTAAGACTGGGCTGGTTTAACCCCCAGAAACAGCTGACCAGACAAAGGTTAACTCTTGAATCCCAGGCATTAGCCTGGGAAGCCAGCATGGGACTGATCAAGACCCCCTGAATCTGGGTGTCAGTGAAGAGGCCTAGGGAATCTACTGAGCCTTGGGCAGCAGATCAGTACCCATCCCAAATATACACACAGACTTTGGACTCCCATAGAACAATGTGAGGTGCACTCTCACCCTGAACTCTTGGGGAAGGGTCTAGGCCCTGCCCTATATGAAATGATACACTATGCACACCCCATGGAGGGCCTCACCCTCCCTGGAGAAATGAGGGGATAACGGGGGGGAGGGCACGGGAGGAAGGGAGGGAATGGGAGAGGGACCTGGAACTGACTTGTGAAGCAACCTTGTTTCTTATCTAAATTTAAACTGGAAAATAAAATAAAAAAAAAAGATTTAAAACCAAAAAAAAAACACACACTGAACACCACAGATTGAGGAAAGGGTATAACTCCCAATCCTGGATCCCATTAAGTGATGGACATGCCATGGGTTTACCAGAGTCTAGCATCTGAAACCTGTGTGTAAATCAAGGTCGGGGCATTTCCCCAGTCAGATCACTTCCTATGTATTAATGTACCCTGGAAGGAGGTGTTCATATTTGGGTGTTTCTTTAAGATACGTTTAGGTTTAGATAGAATAGATGTTTGATACATTTTGTTCATGGACACAAGTTAGTTGTCCTTTTTTAGACTAAAAGGGGAATTGTAGGAGGAAGTCTGATGCCGCCATTAAACATGTGACTTACTAAGTCTATGCCGCCATTAAACATGTGACTTAGTAGAGGCGCATACAGATGAGGTAATAAAAGGGCGGTTTACCACACCGCTAACCACACCCACTTTAGGCAGGACTAAAGATGTATACGGCTGGACGTAAAGACGTATACGTACGTAGGCGGAACTACGTCACTTGACTTCCTCCTACAGTACCCAACTTGCTACTTTAACATATCTGGACATTGCTCAGTCTTATCACACAGGAGTTTGCAGCATTACTCTGAAACCTGACACCAAAAGTTTCTACCAGCTACTCCTTCTGACGCTAGTCTGGCTCATTACCTATCAGTATAGACATTGTTTGCATCAATTCATAAACATTTAGAACCCTGTTCCAGTCACATTAACCTGCATTCATTCTATAACATACACACTAACAATATGTACAATGTGTATATATGTATATATAGAGAGAGAAAGGAGAAGGATATAGACATAAGGATGGAATAAAGAAACTTACATTTGCTTCAGAGAGGATACAAAGTTATCAGAAAAGTTTTAGGAACACACATGGCTGAAATGATTATTTTTAGTACTCTAAAGCAATGATTTTGTTGAGATCAGGGCATGCAAGTCCTACTCTAAGTTATTCTATAGTATGTAACAATGGTTTTCAGAATCAATACATTGCTTGTGGAGTATAGGGAAGGAGGCTTTTCTATTTGCTTTACCTTCCTCAAATACTGTCTCAATGAGTTATAGGTATCTTGATGCAAATTCAGTGCTGATTTAGACTTTTGTTTGACTTGTGAAAGATCACCATATTTGACTTACTCTAAAAAAATTCCAGACGTTTGTTCTAAATATACCTTTATGCAGAAAGAAATTTTCAGCAAGCACAGAAAAAAATTACCTTAAACTTTTTTTATTGTAGGGCAGATAGTTTTATTCTTTACCTGAACATTCATAAATAGTTCCTTAATAAACCAACATTTCTTATGCTTTTGTTCTTTTAATGTGAAATAATTAATTATGCTTGTAATTATATCAACACAATGAAATAACGTAACTATATTTTCAGTGGATTTTGATAGCAATCTTGTCAGTGAGAAACTATAAATCTGTTTAGGCATAACTATTGGGAATGATCATTGGTCTGCTTCTCTTATTATAGATGTAAATTTTGTCATTAAAATTGCCATTCATGAAGCACATTGCCTGATGAGGGTACAGTACAAGCTCTCTCACAGGCAAGATAAAAGCTTCCTTCTATTTGTATTTGGCATAGAAAGAACAGCATGTAATAAAAGGTCCAGGTCATCAGTTAAAAGCAATGTGTGTCTTTTCCCATTTAGTTTCACTACAGTATGCTAACCGTAATTAATAAGTCGTATCAGATGAGAGGTGAAAACATCTTGCCTACTAATGGGTTTGGTTACCAATTCATTCTCCATTGAAGAAAAACAAAATTATCAATTTTCTTTACTCACTTTCTAGCTTTTTCTGACTAAATCTACTCTAGCTGCTTGCAGAGCCACACAATCACTGCCACAAAGTAAAGTGCAAAGTCTCTTCCCTATATTCATAACCCATAAGCACTGAACAGTTACAATTTGTTTGAAAAGTAATCAAACCTCGTGGATACTTGATCAAATACCATTGCTGAAGTATAGACATGAATATTACTGCAGTTAACTTTTGGTGACTCGAACACTTTCCAGTAGATGAGGTGAAAAAATTCCCACTTGGTGACATTCAACACAGGAATATGTGCAATTAAACTTTTCATCATTCATTATTTACAAGATGTCATAAAATGGATCTCAGATGTATTGAAAATAGTAAAACATATAGTCTTTATGTTTATAGATAACCCAATGTAGCTGGAAAGTAAAGTCTCTTGGACATTGCTCATGTTCCTCTTCAGATACAATAACACTTCTCTGGCATTTTGCTTGTTTATAAAAATAAGGTAGTAATATTTTAGCATGTCCAATATCATTTAAGTCTATAGAAACAGGATTGCCCAAAGAGGATCCAATGGTATGTGATTTTTGCTGTTTCTGGATTATGGAGCTTATTAGTTTTGTGAAAGGCAAGACAGGTTCAGTGCCTATAAAACCCCATGCCTTGATAAAACCAGGTAGTGAAGGGACACACTTGTTATCACTTGTGTAAAGCTCTTGGTCTGCTATGGTGAGTGACTACAATCCTCAGTCACTCGAGCACTGGAAAAATTAGAGTAAATTTCTTGTTCTTAGAGCTGGTCTCACGGAATTCTTCTGCTGTAATCACAGAATAGTTCATTTGTTCTATACTGTTTGGGTATCTGAATTAAGAAACATGAGTATCATTAAATGATGTCTGCAGAGTTAGTTGAAGAATTCTGTCAGGGAAATTGTCTGCTTGAATGCATTTGAAAGTCCATGAATATATAAATGTCATTATTGACTGTCAATTCTTCTTGGAATGTGAAAAAAGAAATTTTAGTTTCCTCAACTACTTTAGTGATTCTTGGTATATAACACTCCATATGTCATTTATTAGAGTGTTCAATAGATGTTCAGGGTATAAAAGAGGAAATGTGATGGGATAGGACAAGAAGGTACAGGAGGAGTCAGGCTTAGTGTGGGAATGGTGGTCAGAGTTATGAAAAGGTTTTGAGTTGAGCTTGTTTGAGGAAAGAAGATGCAAGGTGAGGGGATGAAACATAAAGTAGGAAGAATATCAAATATCTATTGTTGTTCACTGGGCAGGGTTATTGTTTCAGTGTTAACAGTAGTTGCAAGGTAATCTGTTGAGGAGCCAGGGATGAGCTCTAGTATAATTTGCAATCCTGTCACAGGGACTGCATAGATTGATGTATTGACTATGGAGGGAATTTGTTGAACACTGAAATGAGGGTTGCTATATGACACTTCAGATTCTGATTTATTCTTCCAAAACATGTGGCTGGCATTTTGGCTCTCATATACTTGTTGAAGACATTGTACTAGAACTGGGAAGGCAACGTCCTTATGGTTTGTAATTTGCCTTTTGATGGTCCACCATTTACTACGCAGCCATTGTGGTGAGCGAACACTTTGCCATCCTTCAGCTAAATCATCCCAGGGAATTTCATTTTCATCAGCTACATCAAGCTCTGCTAGTCTGTGGATGAGAGTGACTTCATCTTTCCTGGACCACTCAATTCCTCCAGCCTGTTTCCAGTTCAGGTAGTTGAGCCATTTAGTACGACATTGCTTTTCTGAGCGAGTACCTACTCGTTGAGCCACAGCTGCCCAGGACACACCCTGTGTGACTTTCTCACCCATCTCAGTGCATGTTAGTTCATGCACTGCATCTACAAGAACTTTTTCTTCTTCTTCAGTCCATTTTCCCGCCTTGAAAGGATGTTTCATCAGTCGGCACCGGTCTTTCACAGAAGATGGACTTCTCCCCATGGCGGCACCTATTTTTATCCAGTCATTGCCATGCTCCTGCCAGAGCTCCTTGAGCTTCTCAATTTCTTCAGGGGAGTACTTTCCCACATGGTTTCTGTCATCATACATTCGGACTACTCTTCTATAAATTGAAAACAAAGGCCGATTCAGACCCAATGATATAGATCTGTAGAAATCTTTACGTTTACCTTTTGACATCTTAAAAATGATTTCTGCAGCATTCTCTACTCCATGTTCCTGCATGTAACGTTCAATGTTGTTCATCAAAATAGCTGTTTCTTCCTTGGACCACGTCCCCTGCTTCCATGTATGTCCCTGTTTGGTTAGATTCTCTTTAACTTCTTTACCTGTGAACCATGCTCTGTTAATGATTGTCCTGTCCTTATTTGCCAAGGGAAATCCTTTATCTGAATTGTCATTCTGTATAATATGTAACTGCATCGTATTTCTTTCAGTAATCTCTGCATCTACCCCCTCTGTGGCTGTGGTTGTGACCAACTCAAATCTCTGCTCCATTTCTTGTAGTGGGAATGTAACAGTTGAAATGAAATATGTTTCATTGCCCTCTGCCAAACAAGGCTTCTTATTTGGAGGTTCAGTAGGGTTTTCCATTTCACCAGCTTCATTCTGAAGGCTAAGAATGATTTGCCCATCTGTGTCCTCAGTAAGTAAGACAGAGCTCACAATTTCGACTGTAACTGGCGCAGGACACTCTTCAAATGTACTCATCTTCAAATATATTCACAGGAAAAATCAGTTACAGCATTTCCCATAGACTCAAGTCACTTTTTCTTTATCTCCGTAACATAAAAGTGATGCTGTCTGCAACACTTGACTCCTTGTTGCTGGTAAGCACAGGTTTAGCTAGAGCTAGGTAGTGTGATGAACTATGGAATTACCAGCTCTTAAATATGCTTGATATGTTGACTATATCTCTTCTAGTTGTCTAGTTTACAATGTCTGTTAGATGTTAAATCTGAGAGCACAGGACAATTTCAAGAGACTCCAAAATAACTAAGCATGGAAACTTCAGATCTCAATATGCATTCCAAAGCTGAAAGATAAAAAGTTAATTGTTTATTAATTGTATCTTAAAAAATTTATCCTATCATTGCAGTCCCTTCCTCAAACAAATACCAAAACTGAAATGGACACTGGAATGTTGTTGTTAACATGGGATTATAGAGTAAATAATAAAGTATCTCTCTTAACTGAGTTTCACGGTATAGAACAAATTTAGATATTAAGATTTATCCACATAACATTACTTCCATAAAAGGTAAAAGTTTGCTAGTTACCTACTAAAAGACATTCAGAGGGTTACTTTCTCAGCCTAGACATACAGGGGAGGGTGTCTAGGCCCTTTTGCAAATGATATGACAGACTTTGAATATCCCCCTTTGAAGGCCTCAGCCTCCCTGGGGAGCAGAAAGGGGATGGGATAGGGAGTTGTTGGGGAGCTGGGTAGGAGGGGAGTGAGAGGGTACTGGGATTGACATGTAAAAAAAGCTTGTTTCTCATTTAAATAAAAAACAGTAAAAATAAAAAAATTAGAACCCAAAGATCCTCATGGAATAAAAATTTATGATATTATATAGCACAGATATGCACACTTAAAGGAATTTCATGGTAGCAGTTATTTAAATTGTGTAATAAAGGGCCTATTTGGTACCATGTTTATTAGAATACTCAAAAGTTTTGTTTCATTAAACCTTTGGATTTGGAATGGACACAATAGCATTTTGTTTTTCTTGATGTGCTTTCCACGAATAAAGGATATGCACATACCATTTCCGTCAAAAATGTGGACAATATTTTAAAGTCTTGTGGTCTGATAAATAGCATCATTAGGAAAATTTAAATGTATGTTGGTTGTATTTGATATTGATTTAATATGATAAATACTTCATTGTAAAAAAAGAAAGTGTTCTACATAGTTAATCTTAAATTTCACTGTTATAATCACATTCTTCAGTGTGTGTGTGTGTGTCTGTGTGTGTGTGTGTGGTAAATATCTTTCATAAAAAAGGTAAATGTCTTTTCTAAAAGTGGTAAAATAAATTATTGTATTTTCTATGATGAAATGTTTTCATGGATTCAAAACTAACTAGGGTGAGTATGATAACTTTTCTTACTTGTTCAGCATTCATATCTGGACATGTAAAAGGTTTACATGCCTATTAATAACATCTGCATTATCAGTCTTTATAATGTATTTTATATATTGTCCTTTGGTCCACTAACATTTTATAACACATTTTTCCTTCTCTTTTTTACTACTTTAATTTTAAAAGCTTGCTTTGCATGCCAATCCCAGTTACCTCTACCTTCCCTCCTCCTGCATCCCCCCACCATCCTTCCCAGCCTCCCACCCTATCCCCACTTCCTTCGATATAGGGGATATACAGAGTCTTTCATGTCACTCAGGGCAAGGTCCAGGCACTCCCCTAAGAGTCCAGGCTGAGAGAGCATCCCTCTTTGTGTTATGGACACACAATGTCTGTTTGTATGCCAGGGATAAACACTGATCCACTGCTCAGGGCTGCATAGGTCTGGATCAGTTACATGTTGGCCTCCCAGCTGTCAGTCTGGGGTCCAAGAGCTCCCCCTTGTTCAGAGCAGATGTTTCTGCTGGCTTTGCCAGCCCATTCTTTGCCCATTTGCTCATCGCTCATCTCTCTCCGTCACTTAGTTCCATGGGTTCAGTTCAGTGTTTACCTGCGGGTGTTTGCCTCTGCTTCCACCAGTCACTGGATGAAGTGTACCTAGAAGACTTATAATTCCAAAGGAGTCTGACCTTTCCTTGTAAAAGAATTAACTGAGGCAGACATTTATTTGAAATCCTAGGGTTGACTTAGCTGCAGATAATACATACACTGTTATGCAATGTAAATTCAAATGAAAGTAAACATCATATAATTGCTCCAAAGATGCCATGAGATTAAATATATGTATGATAAAGTCAAAGGATGAAAACTTAAGAAACGGTGAAATTACTGTGCTATATGAGAGAAACTGGTGAAAGTCATAACATGAAAAGAATTACCTAAAAAGAAACATATCTGGCACTAAATGTGCACAAGAAGTAACTTTGTCAAACATATCAGAGTACTGAAAAGGAGAAACACTAGAATGTTTGAAATAATTTTGTGAACAAATGCTATACAATTTAATATTTATTGTCAACTTGACAAAAATCCAGAGTCACATGGGAAGAGGGATCTCAGCTACTTCTCAAATGAGATTCTTTTGTTGCCAAGACTTTGAGGTATTATCATGATTGATGATTGATGAGGGGAGGACCCAGTTCACTGTGGGCAGTTACATCGCTGTCCATGTGGCCTTACAATATAGAGTAAAAGCTATCTGAAACCACTGTGACCTTCCTAAAGAACACATTTCCCTTCCTGAGTCCCCTTTAACATACTCACTTTAGGTAGGAAGCCTCAGTTTTTCCATCAGCCCTCTCCAACCCCAAAGAACAACCCTGTTTCCATCCCTAGCCACGGAGCCTAGACTCGTCAACCCATCTCACATATACCTAGCCAAGTACACTCATTCATTCCTACTTTACACACATGATTCTTTCTCACTTTTTATTCAAGACAGGGTTTCTCTGTATAGTTTGAATTGTCATACCCTGGAACTTACTTTGTAGACAACACTGGCCTTGAGCTCACAGAGATCTGCCTGACTCTGCCTCCTGATTACAGAGACTAAAGGCATGTGCCACCACTGCCCAGCCACATGATCCTTTTTTTCTTAGGTGTAAATAAGATTTTCACACACAACAAACCCATCTTCTATAACTGAGGATGGTCCCTCTCCAGAAGTCCACCCAATCATGCAACTTGCTAGAAGACAATGTTTCCTGGCCTACAAAAGCATGCCCCTTCCTACATACCTTAATGTAGGGACCCCACCACATGCTGCTAATCCCATCTACCTCTCCTGTATTTAGTCAGACAGCCTAGAGCCTAGATTTATGCCAACAACTCAACACATAGTTATTGAACATACTTGGCTCCTTCTCTAGGTTGACACTAAACTAGCTTTGCCAACTCTACATATAACTACAATAAGAATATTTCCCCTTTCCAGCAAAGGACATGATATTCACACTAGCAATTCTGTGTACTCCCATGATCGACATGAAGACCATGTGTTCAATACTGATTTTCTGGGCAACCTTGTCTACCTTTTTTGTACAAGTAGACAACAAACTCATTGTCTGCAATACCAACTGCACTGATTGCCTGAGAAAAATTTCTAAGCACCCATCCCCATACTCTTGAAGATCGATTGAGAATTCTATAATACCACAGATGATCTTCTCCTGGGTTCTGAAATCTCACATAGCCTGTGCTGAGCCATGGCTACTTCTAAAACCCCATTTGCACATCAACAAAGAATTGCACAAAGATAGAAATCTAAGGCTCATATAGTTAGAGTAACTGGAAACAGACCTTCAAATACCCACTCAACTAAAAAGAGATATGATTTCCTTGCCAAGAAATACCACCAGTAACTTAACTCCAGATGTCCAGGTTTCATTGAAAATACAAAAATATGAATAGCCAAAACACCATGTATACATCAAAAATTAATGTTCTTATGGCAATGTCAAAGAAGTTCAGAGGACATGGATAAATGTCATAACAATGACTGAGACAACAAAGATAAATGAAATGACATAGACAATTCAATATATGAAAGTAAAATTTAATGAAGAGTCCCCCAAAATAATCAAAATGACGTAAGATTTATAATAAAGGAGGCAAGGATTCAGAGAAGTTATTCAAAGAAAAACCTTATCTATTAGATTGTGTATAGAAGAATATAGAATATCAGGTCTTGAACACATGGTAGAGGGATTAGATCACTCAGTCATACAAAATATCAAATAAAAGAATAGATAAACAAACAATATCTACACAATCTCTGGGACACGATAAAAATACAAAATCTAAAAATAATAAATTTAGAAGCAGAAGATAATCAAGTGAAAGCACAGAAAACATTTTCAACAAAACCATAGGAAAAATGGCCCCACTCTAAGAAAGTAATGCCATTCAATGTTTAAGAGACACACATAACATAAAATAGATCAGAAAAGAAAATCCTCATGGTGTATAATATTCAAAACACTAAGTGTACAAAACAAAGTATGATAATGAAAGTAACAAGAGAGAATAATCAAGTCCCTTACAAATGGCAACCCATCAAAATAATAGCAGAATTTCCAAAGGGAAATGTGAAGAAAGGGGAAGTGATTGGCCTACAGTTCTACAAGTTTTGGAAAACTAAAGATGCCAGCACAGATTGCTATACCAGCAAAACAATCAGTCACAATTAAAGGAGAAAGAAAACAATTCCAAGATTAAAAACAAAATTAAGAAATGTATAACCATTGAGACAACACCAAAGAAGATATCAGAAGGAATGCTTAAGACTCAAGATAAGGTTAAATACTCCCAAGAAGACAAAAGGAACAAATAAACAGTTCCATAATATTGAAACTAAACGAGTGCAGCAGTATTCAAAAACAACAAAGTGAATAATATTAATAAAATATTAACATATACTATTCAGTAATAAATTCTATTATTAGTGGTCCAAACTTCCCAATAAAGAGAAAAATTGATGTGATCAGAAAAAAAAAGATTTTGCCTTTTCACTGCCTATAAAAACATACCTCATGATCAACAACAGATATCAAGGTAGGGTAAAAGAATGGAAAAACAAATGGAATCGAGAAACAAGCAGGTATAGTTATTATATCCATCAAGAAAGACTTGAAATGAAAACCTACAAAAAATTTTAAGGAAGTGAACT